ACTTTCAAAATGTTGACTTCAGGCACTATGAAATACAGATTGTTAGGATACGATGAGTTAATGATAATTTAAGACTAATATAAGTCATAGCCCAACACGAATGTTTCACCATCTGTGTTACGTCATCTACATCTCACGAAAACTATGCTCAAGGACCTAGATTTTCGAAGCTCTCTTAGAGCTAAGATAGTCGTAAGTGCCATATATTAACATTAACTTACGACTATCTTAGCTCTAAGAGAGCTTCGAAAATCTAGGCCCAGGTGGACAATGACAAGAAATACGAAATCATTTCAAACACTGCTGTTTCAGGATCTTAGTTCCAAATCAAATATTCTATGGTGTTCTTCTTTTGAGGAATTAATATAATTTAATACTCCACTTTTATGTATTGACCTGACCTAATCATATGATTATGACATGATATTGCATACTTTTACCTGTTGTCATTTTTGTCCAAAATGTACTGACTGGGGTATATTATTCTAATGTATAGCCTTTTAGTGCCGTATTCATAACAACTGCTGGAAAACGATTATCTTTGGTTAATATCTTCCCATTCCCAGACTCACATCCCTGTGACCTTGATGAGAATAACACTGAAGCCCATTTCTTGTGTCCCCCGCCGTGACATTGCTGGAATATTGCTACAAGCGGCGTAAAACTAAAACCTCACTCACTCGTATCGTATAATGGTTGCTTTATTGTCTACCAGTGATTTGCTTGCATTATACAGGCCTATGACCTGCGAAGATCCGGTTTAGAATTAATCTTCAGCAACCCATGCTTGTCGTGAGGGGCGACTAACGTGGTCAGGTGTTCAGGCTCGCTGACGTGGTTGACACATGCAGCGTATCCCAATTGTGTAGATCGATGTTCATTATGTTGATCACTGGATTGTCTGGTCCAGTCTTGATTATTGACAGACTGCCGCCATATGGCTGGAATATTGCTGAGTGCGGCGTTAAACAAACAAACAAACAAAACAAAAAATAGATCTATGATAACTTATTAAAAAATATTTACTTATACAGATATTCAGGTTTTGTGCCAAAATATATTTTTAATTTTTCGTATCCAATTTCGTTCCCAAAATAGCACAACTGTATTCTCCCGTAAGCGTACTATTACAATATCTAGAAAAATAGGTAACATATTGCTATTCCTGCTGACTGTCGGAAAATAATACTGCATAAATTGCCTGTAACTATGGTTACAGTAAAATATTTATTCACTTTGGCATGTTATCAATATCAAAGTATATATGGGGCAGTGGGGTAGCCTAGTGGTAAAAGTGTTCGCTCGTTACACCGAAGACCCGGGTTCGAATCCCCACATGGGTACATTGTGTGAAGCTCATTTCTGGTGTCCCCCGCCGTGATATTGCTGGAATATTGCTAAAAGCGGCGTAAAACCAAACTCACTCACTCACTCACTCAAAGTATATATATATTTACATTTTTTCCAAATTAAGAAATTTAGATAAGAATTGAACAAATTTGGTGACAGATGTTTACATTGCTTCACGCTTTTTGCCAATGAAATACTTCTGACATTTCTGAGTAACATCGTATGAGTCCATTTCTCGTAACATTTAATATTTAAACCTTAAACATCTACGTATTCCCCGTAATTAGTCAATTTTAGTCAAAGACCTTCGCTGCATCCTGATCCTTTCTGTTTGACACCGATAAAAGGTCATGACGCAAAAAATAGCAGACAGTTTAAATGCACCCATGGACAAGCGAATCCTGCTTCGCTTTGGTGGTGAGTGCGTCCAGAATGGCGAGGTGATGCCCTGTGTTGTCGAGGATGATAATAGCAATAATGAATAAATGAGAAATTATAATGTCCACAATATTTTTCCATGTGCAACACACATGCTCATAGCGCTAACACATCTGATTGTTATTACCCCGGATAACCCAAGCTGCCTGTGAGGCGCTGGAAGGTTAGTGAGAGTGAGTGAGTTTAGTTTAATCTGTTCCATGTGCAACACACATGCTCATAGCGCTAACACATCTGATTGTTATTACCCCGGATAACCCAAGCTGCCTGTGAGGCGCTGGAAGGTTAGTTATCCCACCAGGTACCCATTTTCTGAGGATGATCTGCAGTCGATTACTGATGATTTTTGCAGACAAATACCTCCTGTCGACTCTGTTTGGAAATATAGCAGACCCTATACCCACTTATGAAACTGATGTCTTCACTGTACCTTCAATCTGTGACAGCCAGGTAAGAGTGAGTGAGTGAGTGAGTAAGTGAGTGAGTGAGTGAGTGAGTGAGTTTAGTTTAATCTGTTCTGTGTCATTAGCAGAGTGTCAACGTTCAGCAAAGTGGCAAGTTGGTTGATATACCCTAGCATTGGTATCACGCTGATTTCCACCACCCACCTTCTATTTCACGCTGATTGCCACCACTCACCTTCTATTTCACGCTGATTGCCACCACTCACCTTCTATTTCACGCTGATTGCCACCACCCACCTTCTATTTCACGCTGATTGCCACCACTCACCTTCTATTTCACGCTGATTGCCACCACCCACCTTCTATTTCACGCTGATTGCCACCACCCACCTTCTATTTCACGCTGATTGCCACCACCCACCTTCTATTTCACGCTGATTGCCACCACCCACCTTCTATTTCACGCTGATTGCCACCACTCACCTTCTATTTCACGCTGATTGCCACCACTCACCTTCTATTTCACGCTGATTGCCACCACCCACCTTCTATTTCACGCTGATTGCCACCACCCACCTTCTATTTCACGCTGATTGCCACCACCCACCTTCTATTTCACGCTGATTGCCACCACCCACCTTCTATTTCACGCTGATTGCCACCACCCACCTTCTATTTCACGCTGATTGCCACCACCCACCTTCTATTTCACGCTGATTGCCACCACCCACCTTCTATTTCACGCTGATTGCCACCACTCACCTTCTATTTCACGCTGATTGCCACCACCCACCTTCTATTTCACGCTGATTGCCACCACCCACCTTCTATTTCACGCTGATTGCCACCACTCACCTTCTATTTCACGCTGATTGCCACCACTCACCTTCTATTTCACGCCTAAGGGAGATAACCATGCAGAGAGACCTGCATCACCCAGGACGGCTGCACTGAAACCTAAAATGGTTATAACTTCCCATTTTTATACCAACACAGGATAAAGTTTATACTTTATCTCTCCTTAAAAACTATAACTTCATTAGCGTGAAAATTTGTCTTAATGTGAATGAGTGAAAGTATACACAGATTACGTATTTATGTATGCGTGCGTGCGTGCGTATGCACCTCTTATGACGCTGTTTCCGGATTAATTGTAACATAATTCACTTAAGTGGGTATGACTGACTCCGATTGTATCATGGCCCTGACACCACACACAGTTACTCATCTTTTGTAGCTTTACCAAGATGAAGAGCTCAACGTCTTCCTCGGACCTGTTGCCAAGATGCTTCTTGATGAGATTGCCTGAAGCGCCTTCAACACATGACCGATATTAGCTTCGTACTCTGCTCCAACGTTGACATGGATGATGTATTACTGTAGCTACGTCTATATTAAAGACATCTGCATCATTGATGTTACATTGTCGTGTTTCTTTGGAGATATTACTATCAGCAGAGGGGATCGTAAAGGGCCTTCAACACATGACCGATATTAGCTTCGTACTCTGCTCCAACGTTGACATGGATGGTGTATTACTGTAGCTACATCTATATTAAAGGCATCTACATCATTGATGTTACATTGTTGTGTTTCTTTGGAGATATTACTATCAGCAGAGGGGATCGTAAAGGGCCTGAGGGCTAATTCTGAAAATAGTACCACAGGTTTTCCGAACCTCATATAATACAGGTGTATCATTCACCATAGGAAAACAACAAGCAGTGAAACTCCTGATCTTTTATACGACTCACACCACATCCATGTCCACAAAGTCTCTGGACCAACGACACACCCCCATCCTCGATATCTCCAGGGTATACGTTACGATCACTCTGCACTATACCCTGGATGCATCCACGCCTTGGCCCAATAATTATATTACCTCCCTTTGCTGGCTCCTCATTCTCACAGTAACCAATCAGCTAAGCCGCCGTTACACCCGAGCTTGCCAGTGTCAACAGCTTGACAGCGGTCGGAGTCGCGAAGGTTTGTTTGCAGCACCATTCAGATTTGGGAAATAATACAAACAAATTGACAGATCTGAAACTTTAAAAAACATGTAAAAGAACTCCTTCCACATCTTCAGAGTGCCCTCTGCATCTATTGTGTTGCCAAGTTTAAACGGTTAGATAATTTAAGAAGTGAAAGTGAGTTTTGACTGGTTCGCTCAACTTCCCAGCGTAGAAACCTGATTGGATAAAAAGCCAGGCAAGGGAGGTAATAAAATCAACATAAAAAGCCGTGGATGCATCCAGGGTATAGTGCAGAGTGATCGTAATGTATACCCTGGAGATATCGAGGATGCGACACACCCGTGTTCATGTAGAAATGGTACTGTTCGACACACCCATGGTACCGTCACTAATTTTACGTCATATGCGTCCTTGTGTATCTTACTCGTCTTCTGGACATGCAGTACCTTCGTTATCTACAGATATTTGCTTTTCTGATAAACATTACTGAAGCACTTGAAAATTGACGATATATATTTTTCATGAATTTTTAAACAACCAGATAATTCCAACGAATTAACTACTCGGCATTATTGGTATCAATGAACCTCAATCCTGATTGCAATCCGTGCATTCTGATTGGTTTGTCGTATTTCCGGATATGACATTCACTGATACGGGACAGGTCCTCTTGGAGATTACGGAAAGGGGCGAGTGGCGACGAATGGAATGAAGGACAAGACTTCTAGGAGATTACGGAAAGGGGCGAGTGGCGACGAATGGAGACTGGTGACACAGTGTTCAGTTTGAGTGTTTTATTTTCATTAAAACGTTATGAGAAATATTATATTAATCACTCGCTCAGACTCCTAAGCTGTTCCAACTGCAAGAAAATCACACAGTGAATTAGTGACACCGTTGTAGCTGATTCAACAATTAGGATTCTTATTTCTTTATCAAAACAAAACTTACCTTTACATTGTGGAAAACACAAACCAATATTGTCAATAACAAACATCCCGGGGCCCTTCTAAATGTCCCCATTGAAATTAAGTCCAACACACCAAGTCAGTATCTGACAAAAGAATGAACCTGATGGACCAGGATTTGGATATACAAAGCCTTTGATAAACTATAGAAATACGTAACATTACGTACCGCTACAACGTTGGATAGCCTTTGATAAACTATAGAGGTACGTAACATTACGTACCGCTACAACGTTGGATAGCCTTTGATAAACTATAGAGGTAGAACAGGTAACGTTACGACAGGTCGTAACTTTACGGACGCTTTGTGGATCAGGACCCGATGGGTACTTCCTGTCCTGCGCTTAAACAGGCAAGCTGTTTGACTGGATATACACGTATGACGTCGTTTCCATCGGCTGGGATCATTGCTGATGGTGTTAGCGTTTACTTACAGTCCGAGCGCGGTAAAACAACAAACATACAAACCCAGGTTTACGATTGTGATCGGTAAGCCGTGAACTCACTTAGGATTCGAGGCCCAAGTACCGATACACTGTTTTTGTGTGTAAAATCAGCAAAGAAACATAAATCACACAAACGTTCAACAGATACATGGCGATAAATTTATATTTATTCACACACGCACAGACATACTTACACACATAGACTCACACAGACATGAACACACACATAAGCACACATTGACAAATATACGGATGCCTACAAATAACAATGTCTCACGAACACACATAAACACTAACACACACGCACACTCTCTCTCTCTCATTCACACACACTCTAACACATACACACACTCCCACACATATACACTAACAAGCACACTCACACACACACTCCTACACATATACACTAACATGTACACTCACACCCCACACCCACACATACACACACAAACACTAACGCACAGTCGCGCGCGCACACACACGCACACACACACGCACACACACACTAACACAGATACCTACACACAGCTACACATACCCAGACACACACGATCACACCCATACACATAAACACACACCATTGCCCCCTTCTTCTCCCTCTCCTTCTCCAAACTCCTCCCCCACCCCCCACACCCCCACCCACAAACAACACACACACACACACTTACTGAGACTCAGTGTTGCAGCTGCGGTAACTTGTCCCAGTAAGTTGGTGGCCAGACATGTCCAGGTACCCACGTGACTCGTGGTCATTTGAGGAATATCGATGGAGTTGTCCAGATTGATTATAGTTCCAGGTGGTATCGATGTCGAGCCTGTTATCTGAAACGGATTTCGTTCCATGTGATATTCCAAACACTAAAATGTTTCGCTTCAGGTGCAATAGCATCGTCAATGCTTCTATACCCTTACATCTACAACCACCCCAGAGTGCACACAGACGCCACACGGGTAGTTGGTAGTTATAATCAAGCCTTACACTAAGGCCTGGTTTCAGCGAGTGCTCAGTACACACCAACAAACAATCGCTGGAACGACAAGAATGAATAAGTGAGTATGTTTTAACGCCTCTTTTAGCAATATTCCAGCAATATCACGACGGGGGAAACCAGAAATGGGCTTCACACATTGTACCCATGTGGGGAAACGAACCCAGGTCTTCGGGTTGACGAGCAAACGCACTAACCACTAGGCTACCCCACTGCCCCGAACGACAAAAAGAAACACACAAGGAGGATGGTACACGTTTTAGTGTCACTAAACAACAAGGGGCGCTCTGCGGCGTTGTCCAGCTATATCTGGTCAAATACACGTATGTCAGTTTCGTCGGTCGATGCCCATGCATGGTCTTGCTGGGAAGGTGAGCGATTGAGTGAGCGAGTGAGTGAGTGAGTGAGTGAGTGAGTGAGTGAGTGAGTGAGTGAGTGAGTGAGTGAGTGAGTGAGTGAGTGAGTGAGTGAGTGAGTGAGTGAGTGAGTGAGTGAGTGAGTGAGTGAGTGAGTGAGTGAGTGAGTGAGTGAGTGAGTGAGATTATACATGTACATTGTCGGGGTTTAAAGGATTGCGTGAAAGGAACTGTGCGCCATTTCATTAAATTCTGTCAAAAGGGCGGTAATCCTAGTGCATTGATACCAAAGACACGATGATGGGCATGAAGGCATAATGGACACGAAAGCATCCTTTCCATCAAACATATTTTAGGGCATTCCTTTGTTTCATTCAGTGTATCAAGGTTGAATTTCCCACGAACCAAACGTTGAGGCTGGTTTGTAACACGCATTTTGATTGGTTCGTTAGCAAACTGAGTTTAATGAAAACCAAAGGGCAGGTAATCGGAGATTGTAAAGATCATGGGATAGATGCGGGATTAATGTACATGTACGGAAGGTCGAGCCATGGTGATATGGTGTATGAACCAAACTTTGATGGACATCGGTCCGGGCTATTTATCGACATAGATACGAGATAGGACTGACTGACTGATTGACTGACTGAGTTTACATTTACGCCGCTTTTAGCAATATTCCAGCAACATCACGGCGGGGGACACCAGAAATGGGCTTCACACAATGTACCCATGTGGGGATTCGAACCCGGGTCTTCGGCGTGACAAGCCAACGCTTTAACCACTAGGCTACCCCACCGCCCAACGAGATAGGAGATTTGTAATGCAATGAATTTCGAGGATTCTTAGAACAGGGCATTCTGTAAACGTGTACAAAACGAAAAGGAAAAAATGACGATGAGTGAGTGAGTGAGTGAGTGAATGAGTTTGACGCCGCTTTTAGAAATATTCAAGCAGCATGGCGGCAGGGGACACCAGAAATGGGCTTCACACACCCATATGGCGAATCGAACCCGAGTCGTCGGCGTTACGAGCAAACGCTTTAACTATTAGGCTACACCACCGGCCTATTAATTCAAGTCCGCCGTCATATTGCTAGAGGATGAGACAGTACAATGTAAGTGTGGCATTAAAGTTCGCCGTCATATTGCTAGAGTATGAGACAGTACAATGTAAGTGTGGCATTAAAGTCCGCAGTTATATTGCTAGAGTATGAGACAGTACAATGTAAGTGTGGCATTAAAGTCCGCAGTCATATTGCTAGAGTATGAGACAGTACAATGTAAGTGTGGCATTTAAGTCCGCAGTCATATTGCTAGAGTATGAGACAGTACAATGTAAGTGTGGCATTTAAGTCCGCAGTCATATTGCTAGAGTATGAGACAGTACAATGTAAGTGTGGCATTAAAGTCCGCAGTCATATTGCTAGAGTATGAGACAGTACAATGTAAGTGTGGCATTAAAGTCCGCAGTCATATTGCTAGAGTATGAGACAGTACAATGTAAGTGTGGCATTAAAGTCCGCCGTCATATTGCCAGAGCATGAGACAGTACAATGTAAGTGTGGCATTAAAGTCCGCAGTCATATTGCTAGGGTATGAGACAGTACAATGTAAGTGTGGCATTAAAGTCCGCAGTCATATTGCTAGGGTATGAGACAGTACAATGTAAGTGTGGCATTAAAGTCCGCCGTCATATTGCTAGAGTATGAGACAGTACAATGTAAGTGTGGCATTAACAAACAAGGATAGAAAGGAGCAAGTCACCGAGGAGAAGATCCAATGTACAGTTGCAGTAGGCGTCCCCGTAGCTTCACATTTCAGTCCGACCACGTCTTGGAGGTGCACCTGCTGATCCTGAGGGGCAAGAACGATAGTTGGTATGTCTGCAACAGATGATTTCCACACTTGAAATAAAACATCCCTTCTCAAGAGAGGTGGAACAAACTTCTTTCCAAATATACAAGCGTCCAATGATGTCTCTGTCAAGCGGGTGAGTGAGTGAGTTTAGCAATATTCCAGCAATATCATCTCTGTCAAGGATGTTTTTCTAATAGAAATTATTTTGGTCACTTTGTATTGCTTTCGATTGTTTAAAAAAATGCTTTTTGTATTGGTTTGAATGGTGAGGGTTTATTACAAAGCTTTTGATTCATTTGTTTTGCCTTTAAAGCTTAGGGAATCTGTTTTCGTGGACAAACGACGCAGGTCTTGGGTGAAGTGTTATGTTTGGAGAGTTTATAATGTCTGAAATAGGGTCCGTGATATTTTTAATTTAGTTAGTTCGGATATTTTAGAAGGCTTTGAAATGAGAGCGTGTGAGTGTTTGTACTCTTAGGACGTGTATGGCTCCAACTTTATGAATGTGGTATGTGTATCTATATCTCTGGGAGCTCCGAGTTACTTTAGGAGATGAAATATCAAGTCTCGTTCTTTGAACCAGCTTGAAAATACCAATACTAGAATCGCAATACAGAAGTTGGTTATCACACACACACACACGCACGCACGCACGAGCGCGCGCACACACACACACACAGTGAGGGCTTGAACTGGCCTTCAGCAACTCATGCTTCAGGTGACTAACTGTATAGGGTGGTCAAGCTCTATGAAATGATTGACACCGTTTCCCAAATATGTAGATCGATGCTCATGCTGTTGATCACTGGATTGTCTGGTCCAGACTCAATTATTTACACACCGCCGCCATATAGCTGGAATATTGTTGAGTGCGGCATTAAACGACAACCAAACCAAACCCAGTTGTATAGGTCGATGCTCGTGCTGTTGTTGACTAGATTATCTGGTCCAGGCTCGAATATTTGCACACCGCCGCCATATAGCTGGAATATTGCTGAGTGCGGCATTAAACAACAAACTAGCAAACATACATTCACTGTAGCTCACCTTCAACTGTCAGCACAGCCAGTGATTCCTTTGTACCCAATATATTACTTGACAGACACTTGTAAATGCCTGCATCCCCCCTAGAGACGGCATCAATGACCATCTGACTGCCTGTGGGAGTCGTCGTTACGCCGTTGATGATGTTGCTGGTGGTGGTCCCATTCACAAACTGCCATGTGGTGGACGGCGTTGGGTTGCCGCTGACGACGCAACTGAATGTCACTCTCCGTCCTTCTTGTACAGTTTGTGTCTTTGGACCTTGTATGATGTCCAGAGATGCGGCTGGATTGATTAAGACAATGGGAATGTATGACAAAGGTCCATAATAGCTTAAAGTGAGTTTGGGCTGATTTTCGCTATAGAATTCTGATTTAACGTTTCTATATGTGTTTCTCTGAAGTGTGTGTGTGTGTGTGTGTGTGTGTGTGTGTGTGTGTGTGTGTTTTGCGTGTGTGTTTTGTTTTCTTTGGAACCATAACACATGGTTCAGGACACGTACATTCAGAATGTTCCCGTCGTGTTATTGCTAATATTGCTGCAAGGGGCGTAAAACAATTGAACGCGTTTACTGAACGCATTTGTGTATGACATGTGCATGTGTTATAAACGCGAGGCCAGCTTTTACCTGCATTATTTTGAACAGTTGTTTGTTGCATGACATTCGTAAGAGGGTTATATTGACATGATTTCAATGCGTATATTTGTTTACACCTGGTATTATTTAAATGATTTGAAACCATTTCAATATTGTCACGGCGTGACACTTAAGTTTGGGATGCAGTTCGTTTACACCTATTTTAAAGGCACAAATTGGATCGATTCTTGTATACCAGTATATTTGAACTTGCTCAAGGTCCAAGAGAAACAGCTGCCACTTTGGTTAACCAACGCAAACGTTGATTACAAGCTGGCAAACTGACCCTTTCAGCACAGCGTCTACCCCTGTCCTAAAGTGAGTGAGTGAATTGGTTTTACGCCGCTTTTAGCAGTATTCCAGCATATGACGGGACGCCAACAATAGGTTTGGCACATTCTAATCTTGTGGGGAATTGAAGCCAGTTGTTTGGCGTATCCAGTAAATGCTACCCTTCTACTCCTAGTGTCTAAGACCACCATGGAACATACACAACTTTAACAAATGCGAATTACCAACTACAGTGAGGTTTCCTGACGCAGACCACGACCAGCTTCCTAGTCTGGCCTCGCACGTGTATGTGCCGCTGTCCGAGGTTTCTACAGACTTCACATAGAACTTGAGTGCAGGAGGTTGGACATCGTGAGTGTAGATGTGTGTGACATTTCCAAACAGGTCCGTGAAGGTCCAGGTCATCGACATTGTTTCATTGGTCTGTGGGTCGAACTTGCAGATGTATTTGACTCTGGACCCCAGAAGCGCTGTTAGATGAGACGGTGTGACGACCAGGTGATCTGAAGAGAGGATAGCTACATGGTAGGTGATGGATGGATGGATGGATGATCGCTCATTCATGGATGGATGGATGATCGCTCATTCATGGATGGATGGATGATCGCTCATTCATGGATGGATGGATGATCGCTCATTCATGGATGGATGGATGATCGCTCATTCATGGATGGATGGATGATCGCTCATTCATGGATGGATGGATGATCGCTCATTCATGGATGGATGGATGATCGCTCATTCATGGATGGATGGATGATCGCTCATTCATGGATGGATGGATGATCGCTCATTCATGGGATGGATGATCGCTCATGATCGATCATGATCGCTCATTCATGGATGGATGGATGATCGCTCATTCATGGATGGATGGATGATCGCTCATTCATGGATGGATGGATGATCGCTCATTCATGGATGGATGGATGATCGCTCATTCATGGATGGATGGATGATCGCTCATTCATGGATGGATGATCGCTCATTCATGGGATGGATGGATGATCGCTCATTCATGGATGGATGGATGATCGCTCATTCATGGATGGATGGATGATCGCTCATTCATGGATGGATGGATGATCGCTCATTCATGGATGGATGGATGATCGCTCATTCATGGATGGATGGATGATCGCTCATTCATGGATGGATGGATGATCGCTCATTCATGGATGGATGGATGATCGCTCATTCATGGATGGATGGATGATCGCTCATTCATGGATGTCATTCATGGATGGATGGATGATCGCTCATTCATGGATGGATGGATGATCGCTCATTCATGGATGGATGGATGATCGCTCATTCATGGATGGATGGATGATCGCTCATTCATGGATGGATGGATGATCGCTCATTCATGGATGGATGGATGATCGCTCATTCATGGATGGATGGATGATGATCGCTCATTCATGGATGGATGGATGATCGCTCATTCATGCATGTCATTCATGGATGGATGGATGATCGCTCATTCATGGATGGATGGATGATCGCTCATTCATGGATGGATGGATGATCGCTCATTCATGGATGGATGGATGATCGCTCATTCATGGATGGGATGGATGGATGATCGCTCATTCATGGATGGATGATGATCGCTCATTCATGGATGGATGGATGATCGCTCATTCATGGATTGGATGATGCTCATTCATGGATGAATGGATGATCAACTCATTCATGGATGGATGGATGATGCTTCATTCATGGATGGATGGATGATCGCTCATTCATGGATGGATGGATGATCGCTCATTCATGGATGGATGGATGATCGCTCATTCATGGATGGATGGATGATCGCTCATTCATGGATGGATGGATGATCGCTCATTCATGGATGGATGGATGATCGCTCATTCATGGATTGATGGATGGATGATCGCTCATTCATGGATGGATGGATGATCGCTCATTCATGGATGGATGGATGATCGCTCATTCATAGGGATGGATGGATGATCGCTCATTCATGGATGGATGGATGATCGCTCTCATTCATGGATGGATGGATGATGGTTGATGATCGCTCATTCATGGATGGATGGATGATCGCTCATTCATGGATGGATGGATGATCGCTCATTCATGGATGGATGGATGATCGCTCATTCATGGATGGATGGATGATCGCTCATTCATGGATGGATGGATGATCGCTCATTCATGGATGGATGGATGATCGCTCATTCATGGATGGATGGATGATCGCTCATTCATGGATGGATGGATGATCGCTCATTCATGGATGGATGGATGATCGCTCATTCATGGATGGATGGATGATCGCTCATTCATGGATGGATGGATGATCGCTCATTCATGGATGGATGGATGATCGCTCATTCATGGATTGATGGATGGATGATCGCTCATTCATGGATGGATGGATGATCGCTCATTCATGGATGGATGGATGATCGCTCATTCATGGATGGATGGATGATCGCTCATTCATGGATGGATGGATGATCGCTCATTCATGGATGGATGGATGATCGCTCATTCATGGATGGATGGATGATCGCTCACTCACTCACTCTTTAGCATACTTTCATGCAGATAGCACTATGGTAATTATACCAATAACCGAAATACAGAATTCTCCTCACACGTGTCGTAGAGCCCTGTTGTAGTAGGCATAGTTGTCGTGGTAGTTGTTGTAGTTGGTGTAGCTGTCGTTGACGATAGAGGCGTTACTGTTGGCGTCGTTGGACCCACTGTTTGGCCAGGGACGATAGGCGTACCGATAGCTGTCATGTTGGTTATCCCTTTCTTCATAGAACAGAACTCACTGTTGCAGTTGTCCCTCTTGTCACAACATCCCCGGCACAACTCGTAGCGTTTGACCACGTGGCGGCGGCCGAATGGTAGGTGGTGACCAATCGCTTCACACGCCTACACAGACACCGCGTCACGTGGTTAGCAGTCATATAAATAGACATTACAAAACGTGTCGCTATGAATATGGAAAATACAATTTTTAGATATTTTTAAACGTTTTGATATATTCACGAACAAAAGCGACTGAATAACTGGAAACGTTTAAAAAATTAGTTTGAATATTTTCTATGTTCAACATCCACGAGTTTAGTGATCTTCTTATTACACACAGGACGGGAAAACCATGATGACAAATCAAGCTGACGATGCCGGATGTAAACAAAACGAAAGGGAGATAACTCTGTCACGACTACTTTATGGATGAAAATAAACAATTAAAAACATTCATTTGAAAAATATTACTAATCCCCAGGACACCGAAATTGAATTTTAATTATCTTCAAACCTAATGTTTTGTTGGGGTGACACTTTTGGTCCAAAACTACTTGAATGGAATGGAATGTTAAATTAAAATCGAGGTGGCATTATGACGTCACTAGCGTTGAATAACCTAGTTTGGTTACACAACACTCGTTGGATAACTTTCAACTGGTAACACAACACCTGTTTCAATTAACCAGAATTATCTCATAAAGATATTCAGAGCACGTGTAAGAAAAGAGTATATTCTACAGAACCATGCTTATAGTGCTGGCCAACTGAGATACGATGCCGCTGTTTCAACATGGATGTCCTACACAGACACAGTATACCGGCTTCGAACTGTTTAGTCTTTCCTCCCTTAGAGGTGAAAACGAAGGCAGGGTAACAATAAGTATCCCCCTTATTCCATAGTCTAGACGAAGCCAAATTTGCACCACCCACGTTTCACTTTCCAGGCAGACGCTCCATCCACCAGAACATGGAAGATAGCTATATTGCGAGATCGAACCAGCCACCTTCCACCCGCCGAGCGGACGCTCTATCCACCAGAACATGGATGATAGCTATACTGCGAGATCGAACCAGCCACCTTCCACCCTCCGAGCGGACGCTCTATCCACCAGAACATGGAAGATAGCTATATTGCGAGATCGAACCAGCCACCTTCCACCCTCCGAGCGGACGCCAAGGAGGATGGCCAAGGAGTAGGCCATTAAATCGAATCACTAACCCTTCAGTCTCTGGACGGACGCTTTATCAAAGTGTGGTTCTTGTCAGCAAATACCACATGACACTGCATGATGACAAGTGTGTGTGTGTGTGTGTGTGTGTGTGTGTGTGTGTGTGAGAGAGAGGGAGAGAGAGAGGGGTATGTACGTGTGTGTATGTGGCGCCCGCGCGTGTGTGGCGAGTGTGGGTGGGTGAGGGGCAGATGTGTGTCTGGAATGTGATGAGTGTAGGTGTGTGTATGGCGAGTGTGAGTGAGGATGTGTGTGTATGAGTGTATGTGGCGAGAATGTGTGCGTTTGTGGCGGGTGTGTGTGAGTGAGGGGGAGATGTGTGTCACGTGTGTGTGGTGTTGATACAATGCCGATGCGACGAAAATGATTAACTCACTCATTCACACAGAACGTCCAGACGTTTGGACTTACCTGTCGTGAAAGACAACCCATGTCAAAGGACATGCTCCCATTGTCGGTGATGTCCTCGTGTGTTTCGCACACCTGTCGAACAACAACCAGGTGTTCCTTTTACAATTTTCGTGAAATCAAATGAAACTAACACAAACAAGAAATGGCTTTTGGATGGTGATGCCGTTGATAAGGGCATCATGGTTGTGTTTTGGAGTGAGTGAGTGAGTTGGTTTAGCTTAGTTTTACGCCGCACTCAACAATTTTCCAGCTATATGACGGCGGTATGTAAATACTCGAGTCTGGACCAGACAATCCAGTGATCAACGGCATGAACATTGATCTATGTAGTTGGATACGATGAAATGTGTCAACCAAGTCAGCGAGCCTGGACCAGACAATCCAGTGATCAACGGCATGAACATTGATCTACGTAGTTGGATACGATGACATGTGTCAACCAAGTCAGCGAGCCTGGACCAGACAATCCAGTGATCAACAGCATGAACATTGATCTACGTAGTTGGATACGATGACATGTGTCAACCAAGTCAGCGAGCCGTTTTGCGACCACTTGGTGTCATCAGTGCTTGATAGCGAATCAGAAACACACGCCTATATTACAGTTGGCCCATCAGTGCTTGATAGCGAATCAGAAACACACGCATATATTACAGTTGGCCCATCAGTGCTTGAAAGCGAATCAGAAACACACGCATATATTACAGTTGGCCCATCAGTGCTTGATAGCGAATCAGAAACACACGCCTATATTACAGTTGGCCCATCAGTGCTTGATAGCGAATCAGAAACACACGCATATATTACAGTTGGCCCATCAGTGCTTGAAAGCGAATCAGAAACACACGCATATATTACAGTTGGCCCATCAGTGCTTGATAGCGAATCAGAAACACACGCCTATATTACAGTTGGCACATCAGTGCTTGATAGCGAATCAGAAACATACGCCTATTTTACAGTTGGAATCGCAAACGGAATAGGACAGATGATGATGGTAAGAGTTAAATAATTTTCTTTGAAACTAATTTTGTAAATTTCAAAGTGAAATTGTGTTTTTTCAGTAAGGGGGCCAAGGGCCCTTTACACAGGTACATACAGCTTGATACACGAATCAATGATGAAGCGCCGTAAAATGACACTTTATTGTTGGTTACAGTTGAAAAAGCTCGAATGTTTCTTCAAAGTTTGAAATTCATATTTAGCTGAATTATTAATAAGAAACGTATTACATGAAGACATAAGTTTAACAAATTTACAAACAGTTTGGGAAGAATGAAAATATTTAGGAAGCAGGTTCTGACGGAGAAATTAAATGATACCCGTGTGAGTCGCGCTTCAGTCCCGTGGTTAGAGGTTTAAAATAACATGCACCACACAAAATGACTATATTACCCAAATTTACTAACGTTAGGAAATATAAGTTTCATCCGGCGTCCATATGAACAAACGTTTGAAATCTACGTATCATCTGGCTGTCAGATAAACACATTTAAAGGGGTGTTAAAATAAACGAACACTCAACTCTGTATTTACATGTATTTCACAGGTGTGTAAATCTGGCCATTGTTTTCATGTGTTTCCCAACATGTGTAACATATGTAAATCCTGTGATTGTAGGACATGCATTTCAATACCTTTGAAATCTCGTATGACCAGGGTTAGGTTTGTCATATATTTAGTACACGCGTAAATGGGTGGTAATTGTTAAATATAGTGTTACAAGATTAACACTACTTTAACATGTATTTCAATGGTTCTGTAATGTAACTGTCACATCGGATTCCTTAGCGCGTCGGACTACGCCATAATGCACGGAGATCATTAGAAACACATGGCGAAGTGATACCCATGACTGAGCACCACTATTAACGTGCTTGCCTTTCTTGACACACACATGATGTCTGTTTAAAAGGTTCAAATATTGGGTCTATGGGCCAGAGCGATATGTATGTTAGGGAGTGTGTGCACGTGTGTGCATGTGTGTGAGAGGGAGAGGGTGTGGGGTAGGGTAGGCATAGGGTTGGGTCACCAAGTGGTCGCAAAAAGGCTCACTGACTTGGTTGACACATTTCATCGTATCCCAACTGCGTAGATTGACGCTCATGCTGTTGATCACTGGATTGTCTGGTCCAGACTGGATTATTTACAGACCGCCGCCATATCCCTGGAATATTGCGGAGTGCGGCGTAAAACCAAACTCACTCACTCACTCACTCATTCCACGTCATTGCTGGTTATCAACAAAACTGTGAGAAACAAACACAGTCTCAGTCCCAGCCGTGCACACACAAGCACGTGCAACACGCGCACACGCATGGCTACCCGATGTTTTATGGATTATTAACAAAACAGCGCCCTGGACATATTATAGAATCAAACCAAGTCCTAAACTTGTATATTGTGCGAGAAAAATAAAAAAAGAGTTTCTATCACAAACGTTTACATACGATATTATCGATAATACAATTTTCACATTGATAATCATTACCAATCCTTCCTATCGACGGTATTTCCGATTATCGATCATTTTAACCAGTCCTGACACCCGGTGTCATCACTGCGTGATCGCGAATCAGAAACACACGCCTATATTGCAGTTGGAATCGTAAATAGAATACGATATTATGATGATGGTAAGATTAAATCGTTTTCTTTGAAACGTTTCATTTTACTTTTGTGAAATGGTCATTGAATGCATGTATGAGAATGTATAACAACCGGTGCTTAGGTTTGTCAAGGTCTCTGAAGACAGTGTATATGGTGAGTTGGTGATGTACACCTGGGTCAATACTCACCTCCCCTTTGGAACACCTAGCGGCTTGGTAGCAGTCAGCCGGGTCTGCCACACCCTGGCAGTTGTAACATACCATCTCCCTTGATGCAGGAGCTGAAACATACATGAACAAATCCTGTGTGTGTTTGTTTGCTTGTTAGTTGCACTCAACTGTAGGGTCTGTAAATAATCGAGCCTGGACGACACAATCCAGTGATTGACATCATGTGAGAGAGAGTGAGTGAGTGAGAGAGAGAGAGTGAGTGAGAAGGGGAGAGACAGAGATAGAGATGAGAGAAACAGAGAGGGGAGACAGATGAGAGAAAGAGGGAGGAAAATAGAGAGAGATGGAGAAAAAGAGGAGAGAGATAGAAAGAGAATGAGAGAGAGAGAGAGAGAAATATAGAGAAGAGGGAAGGGAGAGAGGGAAGACAGAGAGATGAGAGAAAGAGGGAGCACAAACTGGTTATAGAACGATAACCTGAAGACACAGGTGACCACGCACACGTACACGACCATGTAGTCAGATGTCTACAACTTACGTTTGAGGTTGCCACTATCATCCATGTTAATGTTGCAGTAGTTGTCATAGCAACATGACGTCCAGAATTCGATTTCAAACATTGGGTCAGTTTCGTCACTCAGGCTGTCAGTAGTGTTACAAAACTGAAATGGAATATCACCAAGCAAGTAAGTAACCTCGCACAGAACGTCTCTCGCTCAGTGGTGCCTTTTGATTGGTCTGCTGTTTTTAGTGTCACAAGTTTTGTTCCACCAAACATCTGCTAACCAGGATTCATTCCAGATTCCATTTACACATTATATTATCTCAAATATCCATTTATCCATGGAAACACACGTAAACTCTGTTTGTAAGTCATGCTATTTTCATCTCAGAAATATTGCTTCCATTCGTGATATTCTGACATTTGATGCAGCTCACCACCTAGTTCGTTCACTTGTTCTCTCACGTTTGGATTATTGCTGCAGTCTTCTTGTAAATATCCGCCAAGATCTATTGTCCAAGCTCCAGAGGATTCAGAACTCTGCGGCGCGATTGATTTGCCGAGTCAACAAGCGCAGTCACATTACACCATTGCTGATACGCTTACATTGGCTGCCCACGAAACAGAGAATAGAATATAAAATCCTCACTCTCGCTTTCAAGTGCCTCCATGACAAAGCTCCAATCTATCTGAAAGATCTCCTCAGTGAATATGTCCCACCACGGCTTTTAAGATCAAGTTCTAATTGTCAGTTGAATGTCCCCAAGGTCAGATTAAAGTCATATGGACATAGACAGTTCTCTTACACAGCTCCCCTTTTCTGGAACTCACTGCCTCTTCACATCCGACAAGCCGCGTCCATGGAATCTTTCCAGTCCCAACTGAAAACTTTCCTTTTTAAACAAGCTTATGAACTTTAATCCTTTCTTCAGATCACTCTATCTTTTAGCGCCTAGAGAAATTGCCTTGCAGTTTGATTTGTGCGCTATACAAGAACACTTATTATTATTATTAAATATAACATATGTAACTTATGATTACGTTATAAAAGGCATTGTATGTGTAATTTTAGTGGTGGTGTGTGGTCCTATGCCTAGAGCGCAGATCACAAATCAGGTGTAGTAAAGCAACGTTGGTGACGGATAGTCCTTGGATGGGTGACCGTGTTTGGCAGCTTGACTCCTGACAGTTTCTAGGACTTCTGTCCTGCCCCACAACGAAGCACCTATGTGGTCATACATTAGGCAAGTGTTTGTTCAAAATTGCCTCTGTTCACCCCGCAGAAAATGGGTACCCTGTGGTATAAGGTATGACTATTAACCTTCCAGGTCCTCTCACAGGCAGCTTGGGTTATTTGGGGTAATAATTTCCATCATGTTGTATGCGCTTAGAGCATGTTCCTGTGGCGTGGAGGTGAGCGCAAGATAAGTGGCCAACTATTATGTTGTATTTCAAATGTCACTAAAACATAGCAATGAGTTGGTACTGTAAGAAACGACGTATAACAATACAGCTTTCAGGGATTTGTAGTTGTTGAGGTGATTGAAGCGAAAAACGTTGTCATGTTTGCGTTGTTGTTGTTTTTTCTACATAGTAACTATTTTGCGCGGACATTACTTACAGCCATTTCTAGGTGGCTGGACTAGTGGTTAAAGCGTTGGCTCGTCACGCCGAAGACTCGGGTTCGATTCCCCACATGGGTACAATGTGTGAAGCCAATTTCTGATGTTCCCCGCCGTGATATTGCTGGAATATTGCTAAAAGCGGCATAAAACTGAACTCCCTCACTTACCATTTCTGGCTTGCAGTCCAGATCATATAATTTTCGGCCAGAATCTGCGTGGTAATATTTCCTTGTGTGGCAATGCTGAAAAAACAAAACACAACTTCAGTTGATAAAATTACACCACACACATCATTCAAGCACATTTTCGAGTTCGGTCATTAACATTTAGGATGGAAACTGTCTTATCCAAACACAGCGAAACACCCCAAACACATTCTATATTACAGCGGTCGCATATCCAGACAGGTTCATAGCAGATTAACGTGTTACAAACATCAGACGAAACCATCAGGAATATTGGACAGCTAGGTCACCTTTATGGAGAGTAATACAGTTAAATCATCTCATGCTTAATGTTGTCAAATAACTGGGGGATGCTGTAGCCCATTGGTTAAAGTGTCTGTTCATCACGACCTGGGTTCGATTCCCTACCTGGGTACAATGTCTGAAGCAATGTGAAGCCCTCGTGTCCCCAGTCGTGATAATGCCAGAATATTGCTAAAAGCGGTATAAATACTCACTCACTCACTCACTCACTCGCCCACTCGCCCTCTCGCTCGCTCACTCACTCACTCACTCACTCGTTCACTCACTCACTCACGCACTCACTCATCAAAGAAACATCACCACTTACCATACCAACAGGACATTCCCCAACAGTGTGGCAGTTTTCTGGGTTCTCTATTCCGAGACACTGAAAACAGCGGGCTCCCCCTAAGTAGAGTGAAATTACTTGTACCTTGCTTTATTAAACGTTATCGCAATTACGGCTTAGGCATATACACATAAGCATAAATTAAGCAACAACTGAGTTTTGTCCGAACAGCGGATCAGATCCTAGCACTGGAATGCACATACAAAACACGTGCGTCACTCAATGTCTCAAAAGGTGACGGTCACGTGATGCGAAGGAGATAAGTACATTGGGGTATAAATTTCATAATTGCAGCTTGTGCACTCAGCTTTCTACACTGACATAAAAGACATGATGAAATATATACAAAACATTTACTTTTCTTGACATGGCAAGACGTAGACTTTAAGCAAATACACGATGGCAAGTTATTGGCATGCGTGACTCAGGGATGTGCTCGGCGCTAATATCACATGCAGTATACAGTATATCAAGTGCAATATACTGTATACCACATACACTATACTGTGTGCCACGCGCAGTGTGCGCCGGGCGAATTCCCCGGCTGGGTCGTAACACCGATAGTCTCCCCTATCCCCTTAGCTAACACCGCATGGGGATGTAACGAGGTCACAGGTCAGGCATGTACTGGTCAGCTGTTTGGCCGCTGGCCTGATAATGGGTGCATGATTAAACATACTCTTGAAATTCTGAGACTGTGGCTTTCTGCTATGGTCTTATTAGGTCAAGAGTAGGATGATCCTAATGACCACTGCACGAGAGGCATGTGGGTTGTGGACGAGGTTCCACATGGTCTTGCCATAATACCATTTAAGGAAGACAGATTATCAGATCTGAGATATAGTCGAATTAATGAGCGTTGGTTAGTTAGTTTGGAACTGGGAGCTGAGCACTAAGCTCCTAGTTAAACACAGCTCAGAATAAAACGTTGTGGACCCGCAGACGGACTTGTGTTGTCACTTTGAGGAATATCCGCCAACACACAACAACAACCAACACCTACAACAACATAGTAGTAGACAGCCTGAAACGTCTACGGACTGGTCGTGCTACGGCGGATATATTATATGTCGTAGGCACTTTGATGGGGTATGGGTTTTATCGGGAATATATAGACATGTTTGTTTATTCTCTGAGTTAAGTTAAAGTTGTGTTATCTAAATCTAAATCACAGTGCTGACAATATACATGAAATATCAGCAGCTTATTATCATGACCATCAGCACAGCCATGTACAGATCCGCTGCCTGCGTGTAATTAACCCTAATGAACCTTAGAGTATGGCCGGCCGGCCACGGAAGTTTAACATTGTGGATGAGGTGCATGCTGGATACTGCAGGTTGACCATACATGTATCGTAATACGATACAGGGCAGCAGCCTGACAGTCAGTATAGTATATAGACAATGAATTCTTAATGTAACGGGACTTGACCCTCGGACAGCGCGCTAGGAGGTGGGCTGACGATCGCCTCTGTGGTGCTGCCTGGCCGTTGCTGCACTATCATGTAATTACTTACTTAGCTGACGAATAAAGTGTTGTGGACCCACTGATGGACTATTGTGTTTGAAGAGACAATATCCCCAAAACGCGCTAACCAGCCCGGGATACTAAGTTGATCATTAACCACACGGTTATTTGTCAACTTGTCAGGTCGTTAAAGAGCTGAAAGACCGAGGAAGACCAATGGCCGTGTAGTATTCGTAGTATGTTACAGTTACCATTTTGATATAGAAATTGTTTTTCAAAGTATACACCAAAGCATATAGTGGTTTCATACTTTTCAAAGAAAAAGTGGGTGTTTGATTAATGCTTTTGTGCATTATTTTGCAGACCGGTTTGGAGGTTCTAACACTTAAGTCTAAGGCTTCGGGATCTTAGCACATCTCAAATACATCCAAAATGAATCGCCACTTACTCTCAATCAGTACAAATGAATGAAACTACGGCATGTTTGTGCGTGTGTAAGCGTTTGTCTGTGTTTTTGTAAATGATAATGTGTGTTTGTGATTTTGTTTGTTAGTGTGATTGTGTTAGTGGGATGTGTATATTAGTGTGATGGTGTATATAAGTGTGATGGTGTATATTAGTGTGTTAGTGTGATTGTGTTTGTACGTGCGTTTCTCTCTGTTTGTGTATATGTGTGTGATTGTGTTAGTGTGATGTGTATATTAGTGTGATGGTGTATATTAGTGTGTTAGTGTGATTGTGTTTGTACGTGCGTTTCTCTCTGTTTGTGTATATGTGTGTGATTGTGTTAGTGTGATTGTGTTAACGTGATTGCATGTTTTAGTGTGATTGTGTTTGTGTTTGTGCGTGTGTCTGTGTGTGTTTGTGCGTGTGTCTGTGTGTGTATGTGTGTGATTGTGTAAGTGTGATTGTGTTTGTTAGTGTGATTGTGTTAGTGTGAATGTGTTAGTGCGATTGTGTGTGTGTGCGATTGTGTTAGTGTGTTTGTGTTTGATAGTGTGATTGTGTATGTGTGTTAGTGTGAATGTGTTGGTGTGATTGTGTGTGTGTGTGCGATTGTGTTAGTGTGTTTGTGTTTGTGTGGTTGTGTTAGTGTGACTGTGGTAGTATTAGTGCGATTGTGTGTGATTGTGTTTGTTTGTGTGAAAGTGTTGGTGCGATTGTGTTTGTGTTTGTGTGGTTGTGTAAGTGTGTTAGTGTGTTTGTATTTGTCTGTCTCCCTCTTTCTCTGTGTTTGTGTGCGTGTGAGTGCATGTGTGTGCCTGTGTGGAGACGGCGTTCAATGACACGTTATTTCATCTACATTCCGCGAAACCCGGGATAGTGTAAGAATATCAGACAAGACAGCACCCACCTAGAACCATGCATGGTAGCCCCACCAGCAGTGTTAGGGACGTGATCACTGAAACATACAGCACCATTTTATACATCAGTCTAAAGCAACGTTACAGCAAAGGCATGACTTAACACGTTGTACAAATTCTCCCGTTTGAAAGTCTCTCTCTCTCTCTCTCTCTCTCTCTCTCTCTCTCTCTCTCTCTCTCTCTCTCTCTCTCTCTCTCTCTCTCTCTCTCTCTCTCTCTCTCTCTCTCTCTCTCTCTCTCTCTCTCTCTCTCTCTCTCTCTCTCTCTCTCTCTCTCTCTCTCTCTCTCTCTCTCTCTCTCTCTCTCTCTCTCTCTCTCTCTCTCTCTCTCTCTCTCTCTCTCTCTCTCTCTCTCTCTCTCTCTCTCAGACAATATGTTAACACCTGGATTTTACATACCAGTAAATCCATTCATGTTGGAGTCCTTCGCCTGATCTTTAAACCAGCCCGTGTACCCAAGCCAGCTGCCAGATAAGACTAGCCGTTATGAACAATTATCAGAAATAGTTTCAAATAACCACCAATCAGTTTGGGTGTAATGGTGTGTTTTTTTGGTTTGGGTCTGTTAGTTGTTTTTCTGTTTTGTTTTTAGTTTGTTTTCTTTTGTTTTGTTTTGCTAAACGGCACACCCAGCAATATTCCAGCCATATAGCATTGTAGTCTGCCATATATACCATGAAACAAACATATCCAAGAAAGCCAATGTAAGTCTAGAAGATGTGGCATGTCTAGATTTCCACGAAAATGGAGAAAGTGCTTGGGCTCCTTTTCGTTATATATTCGAGTATTTTTCATGAACAGTATTTTTCTGTAAAATATCTTCTGGATATTAGGCTAATTTGGTTTCTTCGTGATTATATGTTGTATCCTACATCTAGACAATAAAGATGAGAAACTGCAATTAATAAATAGATATATTCATATTCTAGGCAGGACCTGGGCTCCATGTTTTAGCAAAGTAACGGTGAACACAAGCCAGGGACTTCAGACAATTACTACTTTTATCTGTTTCCATATGTTCAGTCACTAAAACCCACTGACAATACTGATCCAGTTTTAGAGAGTCGTTATCATCAGGTCGAAAGAACTAGACGGGGAGATTGTTGACATAGTAACACTGAAGATACCAAGACTCAATTAGCAGTGAGTGAGTGAGGATGTGAGTTGGGTTTTAAACCGCTTTTAGCAATATGCAACAGTAGGCGGTGAAACTTGCTTCACTCACAGGAGTATGACATATGTACCAATGGTTACCAAAATGGTAGCGTTTATGCATTTCAAAATACACTTGAGTGAATGAGTGAGTGAGTGAGTGTGTGAGACTACATCTGGGGAGAACTTCCAACAAGAAGTGTACAATGTGTGAAGCCCATTTCTGGTGTCTCCCGCCGTGCAATTGCTGGAATATTTCTAAAAGCGGCGTAAAACCATACTCACTCACTCACTCCAACAAGAACGTTTATCTAGGCCACAGGCCCACAGTAGATAACATTTCAGTTGTGTGATTACAAGATTACAAACGAAGTGATTCATACAATTTCATAGCAATATATATATTGACAGATTCACAGAAGTATGTTTGTGATTTGAAGACATAAGTCGAACAAACGTTTCAAATGAGGGGTTACTATATTATCTATTATCAGTATTTTGCCTTTTTTTAAGTCGGAGGAGGCACAGTAGACAACGATAAAATGGTACTCGTTTTCTACAAGCTGGATATTATATGGAAGGCAGTATCTGCATGAGCGGTTCTTGATGTTTATGCCCAATCGTCTCCCCATTTCGATCATTAGCTGGTGGCAGCCACATCTGAATCTGGTTAACGCTTGCTTCAATGGAGGAGAGCTGATTTGAGTTGAAACTGCTGCCAACTTTGAGTTATATGAACTTGAAGCCTGCCATCGTTGAATGTTGTAGTCAGACACTCTTTGTTTGAACTCAGACATGACAATATCAATATGTCCAACATCTTGCATAATCCAAGCCTACCGAATCAGAACTGCAATAAAATATGTTTGACTTTTGTGGCCCAAGAAGATCTGTTAACGTTGTCTAGTCCATATAGCATTTAGATGTTTTGCTTCGGTAATCTGTCGTTATTCATGCTGATTATTTTGGCCATACAGTGTATGTTAAACACATTTAGTTACATAAGAAACATATAATAGAGATCGCCCACTTTCACAAGGATTGCAGGTTGTCAGAGGCAGATGTAGAATTCGTTTAATGAGCTTTGTCTGTACTTTGTCAATTTGTTCCACCACTTGGTATCCCCAGAGCTCGGCACCGTATGTAGGTACTGGCAGCACCAGAAATGGGTTTCACACATTGTGCCCATGTTTCACGTCTTGTGCCCATGTGGCGAATCGAACCCGGGTCTTCAGCGTGACGAGCGAACGCCTTAACCTCTAGGCTACCCAGCCTTTTATCAAATGAGCAGTTCTGTAACGGCCAATGGGACATAATGCTATTTGTGGATGCTTCATCCCAATCTTGTCCATTTAGATTAAGAAATATTGACTGAAATGTTGAATGAAATGCTGAAATGAGAATGGGCATAAAATAGTGCTATTTATGTAATATAACTAAATTGTCTATTGAAATATGTTAATGGAAAAAAAGGATTTGACCATTTTCTAAAATACCAAACGAAAAATAGAGTTCAGTGAATGCAATGTCGTGTTATTACAAATGTTACAAATATCTTGTCCATTTAGATTATGTTGATTGAACTGTTGAACATATGCTATTTATCTAAATATAGATAAATTGTTCACTGAAATATGTTTGATAATGATATTTGTATGTTTCTTGAAAAATTAAAAATACATTAAGTGTATGCAATGTGCTGTTAGAATGAAATGAAATGTTATACAGTGAATTCATTTCCATCTTATATTTTTGCCTCAGTCAAAGACTAGTACAGGCTATAGCTTGTGCAGCCTTTCCCGTGCAGCCCAGTGGTACACATCTTGATACACACTACAAGTAACCCCTGCTTTAGGAATTCCATTAAGAGTTCAACCACGGTCTGTTGCCCAATCCAGTTTTGAGTTGGCTGAGACCCAAACACATTGTACACAAATGAGGTTATCGTGTGATAAATCACTGGTTCAACAGCGTATCTGTGTGTACACACGTAGTGTAGTGTCTAGATTTCACCTGTGGGGTCAGGTACGAAGTAAGAGATGAAAAAGGACATTTGCTGAACTTCAAAACCATAAACAAATTGATTGCCTGTAACCTACCCACCATGGGCACCTTCATGTTGTTGCAAAGCTATTGCCTGCACTACAGATCATAGTGGCTGACACTGCTGTTGCTACAGACCATATCGTGTAATGTGTTACATCAAAGGAAGGCTAATGCCGTGAACGGCTCATGAGCCACTTAAAAGAGCCAGTCAGCTGAGACACATGCGGTGTTTTTAATTATATCCCCCTTCAGAAATAGCCGTGTTGCGGCGAGACTGTTCTTTATCTGATAGAACCTAGAGCTGAGAGCCTAGACTTACACAGGCTCTTCCCAAAGTACAGAACTCGATTTTAATCTTAATATTATGCTTATTCACATATATTATATCTATTCTCACGTCACATTTTTGTACATGATCCCCTGCTATTTATATATTTTGCTTCCAATGTTAATAATGCATTCTCGCCACCTATATTTAAGTACAATCATTTCACTTTATAGTTTCTGAATGTTTCTGTGTGTTTGCTTTTGAATTCTCTGACGTGGTTTTACTTTATTGCTCCGCATTTTGAATAAAGTATTTCCACGTGACTTACTTCTTGTTTTACAAATCAATGGTCTTTTGTGAAAGTTGAAGTATTATGAGTGGGTCAATGTTTTCCACAATAAAACCGAGCGGCACAACGGGGAGAGTTCTATGGCTACACAACTTCTTTACTATTAACCTGAGCAACGTTTCGGTGTACCTACTACCAGCGCTATCAAGCAGGTGCTTGGTTCATCACACCAACTTCTAAATGTCACTCATAGAAGTTAACCAAGCGGCAGTTATACTGCACTGATACGCACGAAACAAACATTACCGCATTGTTTTATAGAAGCAGAGACCATATACCGGTATATGGAGTTACCTGCACCACATACCGGTATATGGAGTTACCTGCACCATATACCGGTATATGGAGTTACCTGCACCATATACCGGTATATGGCGTTACCTGCACCATATATGGTCTCTGAAAGAAGAAACTGCAAAACGCAAACCAAAACTCTTTAGCTCCACACAATCAGATCACCTGTACGCAAACTAACTAAAATTCACCTCTTCGCCTCTTCACTGTAGATATAGCTTGAAGTTTGGATGGCACATTTGTAAGCCGGACATCGAAATGCTCTTAAATAAGGGTTGGAAATACTATTATCTTCTTCCTAATCCATTTGGCAATTACATGAAGTAAAAAGAATCGCTCCCTAGCCCCTCTTCAAAAGTACATAGGTACCCTAAAACACAGGGGGTTCTCTGTGCAAAGCGTCACCATAGAAACAGCTTGAAGTGTGGATGGCACCTTTGCCAGAAGAAGTCGGAGTGAGATTTCTGTAGGCAGCTGGTGAGACAAGGGCAGGTCGAGTTACCTGCAGCCACAGCCTGGCAATAGAGAATGCTGGGACAGATAAACAGACAGACAGACAGACAGACATATAGTTTATCAACGCCTCAATTTACAAATAAGATGCTATTGTCCAAGAGCGTTCGTTGGGGTACTCTCGGATGGTAGTTCAGGATGGTGGACAAGAGACGGACACTAAACTCAGGTGTAGAGTTGAAGACAGCAGCAGCCATGTTTATGATAGTTCTGGAATAACGGTAGAAATGGTACATAAGATGGAAATCACGTTACAGAACGCACATCGCGACCGAGTGGCCAATGTTCCCGATTTAGGCGACGGCCTTGGCCGACGCCCCGACTAGCTGCACAATCCGTCCGCTTCTGTCGATGATCTGGGCCCGTCTCCTCGCCTCGTTCCTGACTGGTCTCTCTGACTGTCAGTCCGGTTTTATGCATAGGGACATTACGCCACGTTGTGCAAGGTCACTGACATACGCAAGATCCGCCGACGTAGGGAGATGTTAATTGACATTGAACACATTAATAGACAAAGAAGTTAGAATTTCGGTGTACTTTGGACATAATTGAAACAAATAGATCGTTTGAATATATGAAGTTTTGAAGGAACTTATTGAAATTATTTAGTCTATGACATTGTAGTTATGAGAGTTATGAGAGACACAAAATGTTTCAAATTAGTTTAAACCATATTTTAAAAACATGTACATTGCAGTGGATAAAAGAAATTCTGTACAACATATATACAACTTAAAAAAATAGACATTTAGGTTTTATATAAAATGCCTTGCAGGTTTTGGCACTAAACGTTACAACACTAGGACGGGCCAGGATAAAATACACTTTCACAATACCACATTCATCTTTAAAACCACACCACACTTCATTACAAACTGGGACGGAGGCTTGCCGCCAGTCTAGGTAGCCCAACCCTCCCCAGGTTCCCGGTGCCGGGGCTCTTCACAGTTACGGCACACGGGAGCCAACGCCTTCTCACACCACACATCATTATAAACTGGGACGGAGACTTGCCGCCAGTCTAGGTAGCCCAACCCTCCCCAGGTTCCCGGTGCCGGGGCTCTTCACATTTACGGCACACGGGAGCCAACGCCTTCTCACACCACACATCATTATAAACTGGGACGGAGACTTGCCGCCAGTCTAGGTAGCCCAACCCTCCCCAGGTTCCTGGTGCCGGTTCTTCACCGGGCCAACGCCTTCACACCACACATCATTACGGCACGGAGACTTGCCGCCAGTCTAGGTAGCCAACCCTCCCCAGGTTCCTATCTTCACATTTACACACACAACATCACACCACACATCATTATAAACTGGGACGGAGACTTGCCGCCAGTCTAGGTAGCCCAACCCTCCCTCTTCAGGTTCCGGGTGCCGGGCTCTTCACACCAGTTACGGCACTAGGTAGCCCAACCCTCCCCAGTTCCCAACGGGCTCTACTCACACTGGAGCCAACGTCTACTCACACTAAAGGATATCCTTGAACACTGAGACTACATACGCCTGCAGACAGATAGGTCGGTCACTAACCTACCTACACGGAAGCCTTCAGGTTGTTGCTTAGCAAGAGTTCGTTGCTTACCAGAGCGTGTACACAATTTAATCAGTATCCAGAGCACACCTGTAGAGTCAGGTACAAGGCAGGTGTGGCTAGAACGTGTACACAATTTAAGCAGTATCCAGAGCACACCTGTAGAGTCAGGTACAAGGTAGGTGTGTGATTAGCATGACAATCTATTTATATGTCCGAAATGTAGAACACCGTGCAGAGCAGTGATGCTACTTCAGACATTGAAAGTTTAGGAAATTCCCATGAATTTACTTGACTTGCATGATGTTTATTGTGTTCGTGCCAACGTTGTCTAACATGTATCGTAGGCGCTTTGGCGGGATATGGGTTTTATCGGGGAATATAGACATGTTTGTATATTCTCTGAGTTAAGTTAAAGTTGTGTTATCTAAATCTAAATCACAGTGCTGACAATATACATGAAATATCAGCAGCTTATTATCATGACCATCAGCACAGCCATGTACAGGTCAGCTGCCTGCGTGTAATTAACCCTAATGAACCTTAGAGTATGGCCGGTTGGCCACGGAAGTTTAACATTGTGGATGAGGTGCATGCTGGATACTGCAGGTTGACCATACATGTATCGTAATACGATACAGGGCAGCATGACAGTCAGTAGTATATAGAAAATGAATTCTTAATGTAACGGGACTTGACCCTCAGACAGCGGCTAGGCAGGTGGTCTGACGATCGCCTCTGTGATGCTGCCTGGTCGTTGCTGCACTATCATGTAACTGCATACTTAGCTGCCGAATAAAGTGTTGTGGACCGACTGATGGACTTCCGTGTTTGAAGAGACAGATATCCCAAACAAACCCTCAGCCCGGGATATATGTCACTATACTACCCACCAAAAGTATATAGATTCACTAGTGTAAATGTAGCCACTTACTTCAGTCAACTGTTCTGAACTAGATTTTGCAAAATATTCCATACTGTTTAAAGGTACTGTTTACCTATGAACTGATGCATTGTAAAACATATTCGTAAGGTTGAAAAGATTATTGTCATAAGTTCAATAAATCATGAAACTCAGTGAAAATTGGTGAATTCTTAACAAAAACCTACACCAAAACGCAGCTGTTCACGTGCACGATATTTGCACATGTTTTTCAGCAGTTTGATGCATGATCCTCGTGCCATTCATCTGCATAAGGTTTGCAGTTGGTTCCCCCAAAGTTAGTGGAGAAATTCATCTTCTAAGTAACCACATATATATACATAGCATATAGTAAGTGCTTTAAGTGAGTCTAAACTTTTGATTGGTAGTATATATGTTCGCAATGTGTCCCTGTTCACACAGCAGTGAGATGGTGATGTGACTGTTGACCTACTTGCGACTCACGGGCAGTCAGGGTCATGTACTCCTGGGTTGTTTATTCCCGAGGAAGGCAAACAGTGAACATTTAGAGTTCACTGAGTTCACACAAATGAGTTCACTGAACCACAGCACGGGTAATAAAGGTTTGTACTGGCACGATATTCATAGGCTCATCACTCATTATTACCTGTTTATGTGATATTTACATCAAATGTGCCAATATATTTCATTCGGATCAAATACGTAGAACGTATTCTGTAAAAATCAGAAACATTTTGACAGACTTCACTGTTGACGTTTCTCTATTACGTACTGTGACGTCACGTAACACACTGTATGTCCATGTACGTTTTTACCAATGGACATCATGTTGTGCAGCCTTTAGTGTAGATATCCACTGAATCCAGAAACATGATCTTCGCAGAATACTGGTCCTGCAATGTCCTGATATTGATGCAAATTAGAGAGGTCATATGCATATTTTAGGGACTACTTTCACAGTGTAAACAAACATGGCGTCACGCCCATCTATCGGCGATCGTGTCCGGATTGACTGCCGTGGTTACCGTACTGTTAGTGCTTTGATCCAAGAAAATTCATGTCTGGTAATGATAGATGGAGTGGATTACGAAGCGAAGACAAAACTTCATAGGTTTACGAAAATACCAGCACGAGTTCCCCGACCGACTGTCAGTGTTAGTGAGCATAAGGTACATGGATATCACGCGAACATTTGTTGGGCAAAAGGTTAATGTAAGGTTTTTGAAGTTCCATACGAGATTGTTGTTATTTTCAAGATTTGTTGACAACATGTGCCTTAACATAATCACTTACTGGGAACTAGATGACCTGACGGAGTCAACTGAGTGATCAGTAGGAAATTGTGTCACCGAGCTTGTGACGTAACGTATTACTACGCACATATTTGGGACGTCATAGATATATGTGTACATTCCACGAAGTTAAGCTTGATGATTTGTGGCAAGGCTCGTGAAATACAATGTTTATTCCTAATGCAGGGTAATAACCATCCCAAAACACACTCGCGTGATAACCTATATTTAACTTACATAATCCAGGTCATCAGCCTCCCGTGTCCCGTGTGAAGGGAATATGACCAACTGGGAATATGAATTAGAAAGTGATTCAGAAACAAAATATGCTGACTTGTGAAATCGTTATGTTGTTCCAGAATGTGGACTGGGATGAGGCTTGCACTTGCGACGCTCGTGACGTTGTTGCTAGTTTTGCATACTGCGAAAACAAAGAAAGTGTCAACTCTAAATGGCCCACTTCTTGGACAACGACTGTCAGTGTTGGGTAAGTCCCTTGACGTATTCTATGGAATTCCATATGCCAAGCCACCTGTAGGCGATCTCCGCTTCAAGCACCCTCAGCCTTCAGAGTCTTGGGGACCGGAAGTTAGGGATGCAAGAAAACAGACACCATCCTGCTTCCAAATTAAAGATGCTGATGGCGCAGTTGAGAATCACAAACAGATACCCGACGATTACAGTGAAGACTGCCTTCATCTTACAGTGTGGGCGCCATCAGACAATGATGGCAATCTGGCAGTGATGATCTGGATCTATGGTGGAGCTTTTAATAGTGGATCTACACGAATGCCACTATATGAAGGAAAATACCTTTCAGCAGAGAGTGACGTCATCGTTGTTTTAATGAATTACAGATTGGGACCTCTAGGGTTCAGCTACCTTGGGCCAGATACCATTCCTGGCAACATGGGCTTAATGGATCAACGACTGGCCTTACAATGGGTGAAAGACAATATTGCCAACTTTGGTGGAGATCCAACCCGAGTGACCATATTTGGAGAAAGTGCTGGTGGTGTCTGCGTGGGTCACCACCTGGTGTCACCTCTGTCACGTGACTTGTTTGACAGAGCCATCATGCAGAGTGGGACCCTCAGTTGCCCTTGGGGATACACCATACCCAAAACAGCCAAATTGAAAATAAAGAAGTTTGCTGATTATCTCGAATGTCCTTCATCTTCAACTGATGCAGACATCTTTGAGTGCATGAAGACAGCAGATGCCCAAACTATGGCAGATGTCCAGCTTGCTTTGTTAGATGAAGGACTTGCATTTGTTCCAGTTGTGGATGGGTACTTCCTCCCCGATGACCCCAAAACGCTTCTGTCCAGCGGATCCATCAAGCAGACAAGTGTTTTGCATGGGTTTACAGAAGACGAGACAGCTATGTTTTTGGCAATGACGTTGCCGCAAATGAGAAACGTGTCCACATTACCGGAAACATTGATTTTAAGTCAACCAGAATATGAAAGTCTTCTTTCTGCTGACTTGGTTAATGGTAAAGAAATTGAAGAGCCTATTCGCCTGTTTTATGAAAGTCAGAAAGCGCCTCTAAAAGACACTGACTATTTGGATATCATGATTCGCATGACTTCAGATAGTGATTTCAAATGTCCTCATCTTGAGTTTGACAGATTGTACACTCCTGACAACCCTTCCTACGTGTACAGTTTTAATCACCGACTGTCAGTTAGTTCGTTTCCACAGTGGATAGGAGCAGCCCACACATACGAGCTTGACTTTGTGTTTGGTTGGGCCCTTGAAAAGTCTCTGGGATGTACAGAGGAGGAGATGGAACTCAGCAGGACCATGATGACGTACTGGACCAACTTTGCCAAGTCAGGGTGAGTGAGGTATAGAGTGAGTATGAGACAGTAAGAGACATATTCAATCACGGAATTCACGCAGGTCATAAGTTTTGGATCAGATGATGTATTGAGTTAAAGAGCCCCCACTCGGCCTGAAATTGTCCATATATATGTACATTATCCCATGATATCTTGTATTCTCAGAAGTCAAATGTATTTTCAGAAGTCATATGTTTTTTACAGCGACCCTAACGCTCCTGTCCCCGTCAAGGTGAACTGGCCAGCTTCTGACAACACTGATCTCTCCTACATGGCGCTTGACGTGGGCAGCAAATTAGCAGCAGGACACGGTGTAGTGAACCACGAATGTGTCTTCATCAACAGGATTCGACCTATGATTTCTAAAGGTAATGTTTATGATGGAATGTACAGTCTAATAGTTTCAGAAGTGACCTTGATGCTTCTTTTGTTTAACTAAAAAAGGACACAAAACCACAGAAGATCGACATGTCGATCTTTGAATGTCTGGAACACATCACACTGGGACAAGTGCAATACTGAATACTGCAGCGTATGCTCATGTTGACCTCGATAGATCCATATCAATATGTTTCTAGTAAAAAGTCCATGTTTATACATACATTTTGTAACAAGGAGTTACACTCCCGGTTTAATTTACTAATGGTAAAGATATGTTTTAGTAATGAATAATAAATATTATTTAAACTTGTGCATGCGGTATTTTGTATGTATTTATAATTTGTATATTAATTGTTTATATAACTATACAGTGAAACTGTGCCTGAGAACAGGGAGCGCAGATAGCAACTGATTGCTGTTGTTAATTTGTTGTCCGAAACTAAATGACAGGGGGCAGTGGATGGGGACCGTGTGTCTTGGGGCTATGTAAACACCAAGAAAGACGGAGAGCACCGAGTTGACTTAGACGCGATGAGGTAATTTTAAGACGATGTCGTATTGGCCACAGTCGGTTTACTTATGACTATCTGCTGAAAACGGATGGGGATGGACCTCCCATGTGTGTCTCTTGCTTGCGACGAAGTGTTCACCATCAAGCATATTCTGCTTGACCCTGCTGTTCGACCACAAGGGATTCACATTAAGACGTTCATATTGATATGTTCACACAGATACGTTCATGGCAATATCGCCATGCTGATATATCGTTCCTGGAATCATACTGAACTACAGCCATATATCTATGTTCATACAGCTTTGATATCTTGTCTCTCTTGTGTCTTTGGGGGAATATTTGTGAACTGCAGCCAGGGAAATGAAGGATAACACTGATGTGTTTCAGACCCAGTGGAAGGGCAGGAGTACTGCACAAGAGGATGAAAGTGACAACGTCAAACTGCATGAATGTTGTGAAACCCTTTACACTGTTGTTAGTCAGTTTGTTGTTTAACGCCGCACTCAGCAATATTCCAGCTGTAATATTAATCGTAAGTAATCGAGCCGGGACCAGACATTCCAGTGATCAGGATTGATATGCGCCAGATGATATGATGACATGTGTCGACAAGGTCAGCGAGCCTGACAACCCGATCTGTTAATCGCCTTTTGCGACAAGCATGGGTTGCCGAAGTCCAATTCTATCCCGGATCTCCACGGATCACTACACTGCTGATTCATTAGTACCAAAAGCCATCATTTTCACCACACCCCAAACACCTGTCAATAAACAGATAATGTGATTGTACTCTGTTGTTCCTCACATTTCCACATTAAGGTAATTTTAGCATGCTGTGTCAATCACGTCAACTCTTAGATACATCATAGTAATCAACTCAGGGAAGTCAACCCTTAGATATGTCAATAGCTCAGGTAAGTCAACTGGTAGATACATCATCAACTAAGGTAAGTCAACTCATAGATATATTTCTAAAGATAGTGTGAGGGGATTTTAGAGGCGCTTTCAGGAACGTTTTTCGTTTTAGTGTACATGCGTTATGAGGTTTTAAGAGTAGTGAAGCTTTAAGGGATTTGTTTGCGGAAGTCATTTCTGTGTAGTGGGTTGTGGTGGTGTTTCGTGTTTTTAATGTTTTTAATAGCTTTTCGAGGTTCCTTTTCATGTCTAAGTGTATGGAGTTGTGTATGTGAGTTGTTTGTGAAGACTGCATGTTAAGAAATGTTGATGTGTGTTCATGGTGACACATTCAGATGGATATACAAATATAGTCCGACGTTTATTTGGTCCCAAGGAAACCCATGAATGAAAATCACTGAACTTACTCAACAGGTAATGACCAGACTTTATTGCTTGGAATTGCGCATTGTATCTAGGCGGATCAAATTCGAAGAACGTGTACTGTAGCATTCAGTTAAATTTTAACTGCCTTGCAATGGACTATTGGCGCTTCTCTACTACATATTTCACGTCATAATACTTACATGAAACACGAGGATTAAGTACAGGAAGCCCAAGAAAGATCGAATCTCTGAACAGGTCTGGATTGGTATCCTCATGCTCATTGCTATTTACAAGGCATGTGTTGTTTACATAAAATGTGCAAATATATTTCAAATACACATCAAACATTTAACTCATTAAGGTCGAGAGCTGCATATGTCGACAACTTAATGAGCTTCTCACAGCGATGGGAAACATGAGTTTTTCTAACCCGTATGAACCATGTAGTGAGTGAGTGGAGTGAGTGAGTTTAGTTTTACGCCGCACTCAGCAATATTCCAGCTATATGGCGGCGGTCTGTAAATAATCGAGTCTGGACCAGACAATCCAGTGGTCAACAGCATGAGCATCGATCTGCGCACCCCGATGACATGTGTCAACCAAGTCAGCGAAACTGACCACCCGATCCCGTTAGTCGCCTCTTACGACAAGATAGTCGCCTTTTATGGCAAGCACATGGGTTGCTGAAGACCTATTCTACCCCGGATCTTCACGGGTCATGAACCATGTAGATTTTATGAGGATAAGTGCTCATTTAAAAAAATAAAGGGAAACCACTGATTTTCATACAAAACCATGTCTGCACAAGTATAGCTCTGGAATGTTTAATGTTGAATTTATTGGTGAATGTGAAAATTCAAAATGTCAATACCGACTGTAACCTCCGTGTGACCTGAACAGGTATTTATATACTGAGTCAAAAAAGAAACTTCACATTCTTTCTTCAGGGCACTATAAAAGAACAAGAGATGCTAAGATGGTGAAATTGTTATTATTTTATTGCTGAGATCTGTGTGATGTACTCGATACACTGACAGTGCCATACCGGTAATCAGTTCCATTAGGCTACACCGCCGTTCCAAAACATGGGTATACAGAATGTCAAGTCAAAAGAAAAAAATGCGAAGATCACGTGATCCACTGCACGTGCAAAACCTGATTTGGCACTAACGTCATTTGCACGACGAATGGATGGGTTTGAGTGGGTTTTGCTAACGTTTTTCTAGAGTCGACATATAGGGATCCCATTTCGGATACATAGATGTATCATCAGAGAAAAATTATTCATTATTTTTCAAATTACAGTATGTGAAGTTTCTTTTTTTACTCAGTATATATGTGTGTAGCAGGGCGTGGAGTCATCCCACAGATGACATCCTTACTTTGTCAGCTTGCTGACGGGGTTAACCTCTTTGGTCATGTGGACAAGGCGTCCGACTTCGGATTAGAAGGTCCGTGGTTCGAATCCCAGCACGGGACTCGTAAATTTTATGGCCGCTACATTGGCGCCCAACGTGGGGCTGAGCACGTTCATATCAAAATTGAGCAAAATAAGTCTCAGTAACCAACTATGCGGCTCGGGGCGTGCCTTCGGTTGACGGGGGAGTATGTAGCAGGGTGTGGAGTCATCCCACAGATGACATCCTTACCTTGTCAGCTTGCTGACGGGGTTAACCTCTTTGGTCATGTGGACAAGGCGTCTGACTTCGGATTAGAAGGTCCGTGGTTCGAATCCCAGCACGGGACTTGGAAATTTTATGGCCGCTACATGTGCATATAGATGTACACAGAATTGAATCGTCATTTAGATGTCATATCTAAAGCATTACACTGGATTGCTGAAACGCATATGTAGAGACGACCAAGAGACAATGTTTACAGTTTGAGAATGGTGTTTAGTGGTGTCTATATATTTCTTGTTGTAAAGGAAACAAGAATAGAAGTGAATAAACAAAACGTCATTTGTTATTACTGAACCCAGTGTTTGTTAGTTATTGACAGTTTAATCATGCATCACCATGCGTTTCTTTTTCTGCCGAGTATATTTACGGATTATGTGATGCAAAATGGAACCAGTAAATCGTAAAACGTTTAATCCTAACGTGCACCTGGCGGTTCATTTGGTATCACTTTAATGTGGATCAAATAGAAAACTTTTGTGATCACTACAGTTTTTCCTAAACGTGTTCACTTAATTAAATAAATTATATTATTAATTTTGTTAAGGGACTATGTTTTCAGTTTTTAGTGGATTTGGAACAGGTAAGTAGGTTTGTTGTTTAACGCAGCCTTCAGCAATATTCTAGCTATATGGCGGCGGTGTGGATTGGGGAATTGTATGGGGGATTGTATATGTAAACATATATGTGTATTGTTTTTGCCTTGATGTTTTTAATGGAAACTGAGAGAAATGACCAGTAATACTCAGAAATACGCTTTCACACCTTATGTTTAAGCTTAACGTTATCAACACTATTTCACTTTTCACATAGCCTAGTGGTTAAAGCGTTCGCTCGTCATGCCGAAGGCCCGGTTCGATTCCCCACATTTCTGGTTTTCCCCGCAGTGATGTTGCTGGAATATTGCTAAAACGGCGTAAAACATACTCACTCACGATTGGAATTGGAGACTAAGACCATCCATCAGTCATTTCATTCTGAACTGTAATTCAGGGATGTATGTATTGCAGCTGCGCATCAATATAGTCTATGTAAAAGTCGTCTCATGACATGGCGGAAAGCTGCCTTCTGCGTTTGTGTTGCTTACTTTGAGACAGATTCAAACGATTCCAGTGCTATTATTGTCAGACTAATCAGTGGCGATTTAACAAAAGGGAGTGAGTTTAGTTTTACGCCACACTCAGCAATATTCGAGCTATAAGGCGGCGGTCTGTAAATAATTGAGTCTGGACCAGACAATCCAGTGATCAACAGCATGAGCATCTATCTGCGCAATTTAGAAACGATGACATGTGTCAGCCAAGCCAGCGAGCCTGACCACCCAGTCCCCTTAGTCACCTCTTACGACAAGCATGGGTTCATTCTAACCCGGACCTTCATGGGTATTTCACAAAAGATACACCCTTGATCACTAAAAGACTAATGTAATGACTGTGTAATATTTTACATTGCAGCTGCAACTAAACCAAGAGTTTGCTGTGTATGTTTCACAAATAAATGGCTGCCATATTGGAAAACGATCGTCACTGTCTAATCCGGCACCCTGTCTAAACCGGCATTTTATTTCGATCCCGTGGGTCGCCGGTTTAGACAGGTTTCACTGTATATATTGAGAACAGAATTGACACAGAATTATATATAAAGATTAGCATTGTACAATTACACAACTTTTCCCTTTAGACCGTTTATGGAGCGATAAAAGAAGTAGTCGGCCAAACCATATTCTTGATGTCCAGTGTCTGAAAAGCTTCCATTTTATTTGGAAGGAATCATTAGCAATTAGGGTTGGGTATCGCCAAAATTTTCGTATTGCGATATATTATGATATGTGTTGGCGTATTGCAATATGTATTGCAATATATTGTGAAAGTGTAACACATGGGTTAAAGTAATGAAATTACTGTTTCCTTTCTTTTGAAACAATGACACTGGTACAAGAGATCAATTGAAAATATTTCCAATTTGAAGACTTCGCTCGAAAGTTTAGATCTCGAGAAAAAGCGTATGCAGCGGCGTCCGCCATTTTGGTTTGTTTATCCCTACGAGTGGCGGTAACAATCTATTTTTTTATTTATATGGTTTAAAAGTCACGCAAATGCAATTATATGACCAATAAACATTCTCAAAACTATTAATGTATAATAATATAAAGGAAATACAAATGTTGTTAGTAGTTTTGACTACATCACGAAAATTGTATCGGGAGAACCGGTTCGCTCAAAGTGTACCGCAATATATCGTATAGTGAAGTTCGAATTGCAATATACCGGTTAACCGGTATTATCGCCCACCCCTATTCGCAATGCCATATCCAAATTTTCACATAACTGGTTTATCTGATATTAGTCGTAACAACAGATTGGGTATAATATTTTCCCAACAATTGCAGAAAATGAAAACGATCTGTCATTTGGTACCTCACGGACAATGGTAAGCCATCAGATAATAGCATATAAAATATGTTCAGGATAGTATTGGATGATTTCCTGTCGTAATCAACAGTCAAAGATTGGGATTGCTTGATTTAGATTTACGAGTTAGATTTACTGTTTACCGGGCTGTTTTTTTTAAGGACACTCCTATCTTAGTCTTTCAAAAACACTGTGTACAGGTATTCAAGCTGGCACTGTTTACAATGTACTGAGAGCTGACACTTGTGTGACCATTCAGTATTTAGTTTGGATCCTTGGCATCATGTATGATTAAGTGAAAACATTAGAATAAGTTATGTCCTTATGATTACATTATCTGAAAGGGTGTGGGTGGAGTCTCAAAAACAAACTCTTTGAGTAAACATGAAGGGAGAGTCACTTTAAGAAGCGATTGTAAACTACAACTGTTTGTATGCTTAAGGGGAACATGCTGAAGCACACCCGCACCATGTTTGATTCAAAGGCCCAAACACAACAGTCTGTGGAAGACAGACTTTCCAAACACACAAGTCTGTGGAAGACAGACTTTCCAAACACAACAGTCTGTGGAAGACTGACTTTCCAAACACAACAGTCTGTGGAAGAGTGACTTTCCAAACACAACAGTCTGTGGAAGACAGCCTTTCCAAACACAACAGGCTGTGGAAGACAGCCTTTCCAAACACAACAGTCTGTGGAAGACAGACTTTCCAAACACAACAGTCTGTGGAAGACAGACTTTCCAAACACAACAGTCTGTGGAAGACTGACTTTCCAAACACAACAGTCTGTGGAAGACTGACTTTCCAAACACAACAGTCTGTGGAAGACAGACTTTCCAAACACAACAGTCTGTGGAAGACAGCCTTTCCAAACACAACAGTCTGTGGAAGACTGACTTTCCAAACACAACAGTCTGTGGAAGACAGACTTTCCAAACACAACAGTCTGTGGAAGACTGACTTTCCAAACACAACAGTCTGTGGAAGACAGACTTTCCAAACACAACAGTCTGTGGAAGACAGACTTTCCAAACACAACAGTCTGTGGAAGACTGACTTTCCAAACACAACAGTCTGTGGAAGACTGACTTTCCAAACACAACAGTCTGTGGGAGACAGACTTTCCAAACACAACAGTCTGTGGAAGACAGACTTTCCATGCAGCTTGTGGAAACGGTTGTAGCTAGTGGCAAAGTTTGAGTCTAACATGACAGATAATATGTAGAAAAATATAACATAACAACAGCTGCATTTTTATCATTTTCGACATGAGGCCGACTACACTTTTTGATCGCCCCTCATATATTGACAGTTCCAGGGGTAAATATTCGATATTCACATTTAAAACATACAGTACTGTAAATGTTGCCGTGAATGATGACTTACCCTGAATATATGAACACAACAAATGACAAAATGTCTGAAAATGGCTTCAACAAATTTTATTTATTGTCGGAAAGAAACTAGAACCCACCTGTCTCATGAAAACTGACCCATGACTATGAGAAGGGCACACGCCACGTCAGTCTCAGTAATGACATATCTCTATCTCTGACTCCATCAACACCGACTTCACTGAGCGTCGTATGACAGCAGGAGATCCAACATCTCCTGGTGTCCCCAGAATCTTGCCACGTCAGCCGCTGTCTGCCCACTGCCGTCCCTGACGTTAATGTCCACCAAGTTCGAAGACAGAACAGATTTCAAAATCTCAATGTCACCTTCCTCCTCACAGGCCATGTGAAGTACGTTGACACCATCATCATCCACCAGTGACACATCTGCCCCATTACTCACCAGAAGATTCACCACATCGCTGTTACCCAGATTTGCTGCCTCCATCAATGGTGTCCTGCCGTTCCATCCTCTACTGTTGATGTCCACTATGTTCAGAGACAATATGTACTTCACAGTCTCCATGTCTCCACTTACACTGGCGTAGTAAAGGATGTTGTTGCCATCAACGTCCACCAGTGACACATCTGACCCATTAGCCACAAGAAGATTCACCACATCCCTGTTACCCCCACTTGCTGCATCAATCACTGGGGTCCTGCTGTTCCATCCTCTACTGTTGATGTCCACCACGTTCAGAGACAGTATGTACTTCACAGTCTCTATGTCTCCTTTTGTACATGCGTAGTGAAGCATGTTGTTGCCATATTCATCCACCAGTGACACGTCTTCGCCTTTACTCACAAGGAACTCAACCAGATCTCTGTGTCCTTCCCTTGCTGCCAACATACCCGGTGTCCTGTTCTTCAATGCTCTACTGTTGACGGCCAGCATGTCCAGGGAGAGGACCAACTTCACAGTCTCCACGTCTCCTCCCTGACAGGCCAAGTGAAGGATGTTGTAACCGACCTCATCAACCAGTGAGATATCTGCTCCTTTCCTGACCAGGAGCTTCACCACATCTCTGTGTCTGCTCAGTGCTGCCTCCATCACCGGGTGTCCTGTTCCAGTTTCCTCTAGTGTTAATGTTTGCATGCCCCACAGACAGGAGCAGCTTCACAAACTCCTGGTTACCGTCCCTGCTGGCAGAGTAGAGGTCACGGTCTGCTTGTAATAGAGTCGCTGCAACATCAAATAAATTGTGTACTATACAGTCCGTTTGAGTCAGAAACGGACCGATGAATTGCAAATTGTACAAAATTGCCACATAAATTTGAAAATTTTAACTATAAATTGTATATTTATATACTTATCCTATCTCACGACTTGCACCTCTCTCTCTTCATTCGACCATGAGTGGAAACGAATTAAAACTTTGCTCCAAGGCCTACCTTGCCCCTCTCCCGTGCTGTGCGTGCCTTCTGTGTCAGTCGTGCTCACTAGTCCATGACAGCACGAGGCATGCGCAGTCCTCACCCACGTGATCACCTCACATACTCATTCTCGATCTTGGAGCCATAAAAGGACAAAACCGGAAACGGTGGTAATCTATGTAGTGGGGAGGTAGGGAGGGACTTTATCGCGTGAGATAGGATAAGTATATAAATATACAATTTATAGTTAAAATTTTCAAATTTTTAAACTTATCCTATCTCACGACTTGCACTTATCCCACGGTAGGAAGGTGGGTCATAGATTACCCGAATTCAAGCGATAACAGCTAAGTGCTATGCCCAAACAACCGTGAGGGAAGCAACTACAAGGTAGGCCAATAACTACCAAGTTACTACGCATGAGGGCTAGTTCGAACCCATTGACTTACTAAGCACAATTGCTCCCAGGGACCGGGATTCCCGAGCAATGTGGTGTTCAGTCACTACCTTCACAAAGTGAAAGGGACGTAAGCTTAACGAGTGTAATCAGTCGCATATCGCCACGATTTCCAAGGTACCCCCGTAATAAAAGTCTAACAACTAGTATCGGGCCAGCCCCTGCTTCAAACAACCCCACACAGACACCGTCCGAGGAGGGTGAAAGAGAAATTGAATCGGTAAAACTCACAATTTTAACGCTCAGTACCACAACATCATCTTATGACTTCCATTACTTACCACAATAAGATCACATAGATGTGTATAGGCACTTAGGAGCATGAACGCTACACAGGCGTAACACTTCGAAGGACTCACTTCACTGACTTAATTACTCCGCGGAGCAGAGGACAGTAAGTGAGGTGGCGACTCTGTAGTCTCAAACAAATGAGAGGAGAAATCTAAATCCCGAAGACATAAATCAGAAAAGTTTTTCAGATTTATTCAGATTGTACACAAGCAGAAACGATCGCGACTTGGGATCAACTGCACAGTGGGATCCATATAGCATCGGAGCACAAGGAAGTTCATTATCTCATGATGTTGTGCCGCTGATAACTGCTTGGCAAGGACGAAAGTGGTCCAAACTGATGAAGGCCTTGAATATCCGCCACCGACACATCTCTGAGGTAATGAGATCGAAAAACTGTGTCAGATCGCCAAAACAACCCTCCATTATGGCAGTTAACGAGCAGTTGCTATGCAACGCCATAGTAGAAGCCAATGCCCTGGTTTCATGAGGGTTAACTGCCGAGGTGGTGGCAAACCGCAAAAGTGTAGGCTCGTGAGTATTGTAGCTCGTAGCCAATATGAGAGTGTTGTGCGAGAGACTTCCGCCTTGGAAGCAGCAGACAAGGGTATAAACAGTCTCTTACGCAGACGGCGGCTCTTGCGCGATGCTTTAAGTAACGCTCACGGTGTAACACTTCGAATGACTCACTTTACTGACGTAATTAATCCGTGGAGCAGAGGACAGTAAGTGAGGTGGCGATCCTCCAGCCGCCTCAAAAGCGAGACCTGCAATGGTCAGTTCGAACCCATTGACTTACTAAAACACAAGTGCTCCAGGGACCGGATTCCCGAGCAATGTGGTGGTCAGTCACTACCTTCATGAAAGTGAAAGGACGCAGCTTAGCGAGTGTGTAAACAGTCGCATTACCACGATTTCCAAGGTCTGACGACCAGTATCAGGCCAGCCCCTGCTTCGACTCAACCCCCACAGACACCGTCCCGTGGAGAGTGAAAGGGTAATTGAATCGGAAACTCACAAGTCCCAGAAGAATCGAAGACACAAATCAGAAATAAAATTCAGAATTGTATTCAGATTGTACACAAAGCAGAAACGATCGCGAACTGGTGATCATCTGCGCTGAAGCTGATGGTTGTCCCGAAAGCCGAACAGGCGATAATGACAATGCTGAATTCCAATTCGCTAGATGAAGGGCCCTTTCTCCTGATGACCACTTCTAGGCCACTTGATGGAGAAAGTGAGCGCACCAGCTTGCAAGATGTGCCAACGAATAGGTGTTGAGTCGGTATGAAGGGCACCCTAGAGACTCCAACACAAACATTCCACTTGTTGAGCCACCAACGAAAGACTGAATGTAGTTGTGCGGGAAGACGAATCAACTCCCTGGGGTTGTCGCCCCCGAGGTATGGGCACAGAACCATCTGAAGAGGGCAAGCTGCAGCTGGCCCTGTCAGTCAGCACTTGTGCCGACGCCAACCACCCTAGTAACTTCTGCCACTGGCGAAAAGGTGTGGGTTGGACCAACATTAGTGGTGCGTTGCACTGAATCTTGTCCCACCTCTCCTGGGGCACAAACATCATGACCTGGCGTGTTGAATATTGTCCCAATAAGAAGAAACAGCGGTCGGTGTTACCCCTGATTGCTCAATTTAGCAGCCATCCTAACTGCGTGAGCAACTTGATGATGAACTGTCTGTGGAAAGGAAGGACGACTGGATCCTGCTGGGCTTGAACACAGTCGCCGATATTGTTGTCAATTGTCACGCTCGACAATGCAGGTAGCTGGTTAACAGAATGGGTATCTGAGTAAAACCCACGGGCTGCGCATATGCCCATACAGCAGGATCCTCCATTGGTATCAATGACTTACATAAAGTAAATCGAAGATACTTCCAATAGTCTGGATGTATCCGATGTGAAGGTAGGCGCCTCACAGGTCGAGGGACTGACTGACTGACTGAGTTTAGTTTTACACCGCCTTTAGCAATAATCCAGCAAAATCACGGCGGGGGGCACCAGAAATGGGCTTAACACATTGTGCCCATGTGGGGATCGAACCAGGGTCTTGGGCGTGACGAGTCAACCCTTTAACCACTAGGCTACCCCACGGCCATCGCAGGTCGAGGGAAATGAGAGGTCTAACCACTCTTGCCTCTGACAAAAAGATATCTCCAGATATAAGAACGTTCAATAAGTCGAGCAACTACGTCAGTTCTGATGGAGTGCTCAATGTAGTATGTTTGGCGATGGAGATTGTCAGTCAATCTACAGGAACGCTCACATTATAAACAAATTGTAGAAATTAAGTAGGATCGGTGACCTCAGGAACGCTTCTTTGGCTGAACAAAATAATGGTGCGCCAGGTGGAGTGATATAGGTAGTAGATCGCTGCCTGGTGACAATCCTTGCATAATGCAGTGACCTCTGAACTCGGTGCTTGACTAGGCAAACCGCTCACGGTGTTTCTGTCCGTCACCCTCAATAAGCAGTCTCTCTCGACTGGCTGTCAAAATCCGACACAGTCACTCTTATCGGAATGGAAGCATTCGTTGTTACTTGCATTTATAGGCTGGACTTGGTATCCGATTCGGGCCAAGAGAATTCTGCAAGGGCACTTCATAGTCACTCTAATCATCAAAATTCCGTAAACAAACAGTAGTCCGCCATTTGCAAACGCTACACACGAAAGTGACAAAAATACGGACAACATGGTCTTTGGTTAACCGGGCGAAGTCGCAACCCATAAATTCGGGCTGAGCTATGCTGGCTATTTGACAAAACATTGCCGGTACCATGCGCAAGAACTTCATCCATTTGTTATCTGTCCAGAAACTTGCTTATCATGTAAAACAAAGGGAGCTGAAGATGACGAGCCGCCTGCAACAATTGCACCAAGGGATACACAAACATAAATTCCGGGCTGAGCTATGCTGGCTATTTGACAAAACATTGCCGGTACCATGCGCCAAGAACTTCATCCATTTGTTATCTGTCCAGAAACTTGCTTATCATGTAAAACAAAGGGAGCTGAAGATGACGAGCCGTCTGCAACAATTGCACCAAGGGATACACAAACACGCTGTTACGAGTAGTCTGTAGTAACAAGACTCATCGGAGCGTCAGAGAGTATTCCTGGCTCGCAAGCCGCATCTAGTTATGCCATATCGGGTGGTTGCAGAACTGATATCTACACCGGGGGGTAGAATCGCTTGAACCGAATCATTCATCAAAAGTGAAGATCGGATGGTAGATTAAATCTGAATGAGATGAGCTCCGTCACGGAGGACTCTTGAGAACTGGGATCGCCAGGCCGCCAAGTGCCGAAAGCGTGATATCTCTAGATGACTGCGCTACTAACAACACATGTAAATCAAGTCGGCATGGTGAAGCACATAGCTACTACCTATGTACATTGATCTTGAACGCCAGGTGAACTGGTTCGACGATAGGAGCTTTTAATCTGGTGAAACGATACGAGCCGGCTGGTAAATCAGTTCAGGGTGGTGAGCCGAAAGTTGACGTGATCTGAATCAGTCCGATGTGATCTGAATCGTGACTGATCTGGATTGGTTCGGTAATCCGAACCGGTTAAATGATCTCAGCTGATGGAGAGATCTAGAACGCTCAGATGAACCAGTGAGGCGAGGTGAAATGTTCCGCCGAGGTGAATCGCTTCGCTGCTGTGAATTGAATCGATGATGTGAACTGTTTCGCGATAAGAAACAGTCTTAATATTATGGCAAACTGAGTCAATGTCATTATTCACACATACGGCGCATGGTGAAACGGTTCGGTCTGGTGAATCCATTCGTGTATGGCTTAACCGATTCGTGTGTGGTGAATCCATTTGGTATGGCGAACCGATTCGGCGCGGGTGAACCGGTTCGGCAATTTGATGGTACGGTCTGGTGAAACCATTCGGTATGACGAAATGATTGGGTGTGGTGAATCCATTCGGTATGGCTTAACCGATTGGGTGTGGTGAATCCCTTCGGTATGGCGAACCGATTGGGTGTGGTGAATCCATTCGGTATGGCTAAACGGTTCGGTCTGGTGAATCC